AAAAAAAAGTGCGACTACATTGTGTTGTGAGTTGGAAATAAATTCATTGTCACTTTTGCACTAAAACATTAATTTTATGATCATTTTGTTCACTAATGAATCTCTTGGGCCAGGGAGATATCTCAGTGGTTTAAGTGCCTGCCTGTTAAGCCCAAGGTACTGAGTTTGATCCTTGGTACATAAAAAGCAAAAACAAAAAATAATGAATCTCTTGTGTTCTCAACAGTGATTAGTTTATTACAGATGCACAATCTATATCTTTCTAGATAGTTGTATTTAAATAAATGTTAAGAGAAAATTGTGTTGAGTCAAAAATGTACAAAAGTGAATTAAAATATGATTAAGTGATCTAAAGCATATCACAAATATAAATTATATACATACAAATACATTATACACAGATAATTTATATAAAATTTATTATTTTGATGTTTTCAGTTTATTATTTACTACTGAGTTGTTTCATTTTCTGGGAGTATTTAAAGTAAAACTTTACAAAGCACCTTAAGTTCAAGACTACTAGATTTATTATTTTAAGTTCACTTATTAAATTTTTGTATAGAATTTGTCTTTTGGTCTTTTCCCAACCAATCTACTACTGATACTTAAATATAATAAATATGTGTAATTTATTTATTAAATAAGGAGAGCTGTCTGCATGATTTTTGAAGATGTTATTCTTACAGAATGTTAACTAAATTATGTATAATATTACAAAATGGATTTAAGAGATACTACCACTTTAAGAATGAAAATTATCTACTTCGCAATATTATGAAAACATGAAATTAAAGCAAAATAACAAAAATAATTTTACCATACCTAAAAATACAGTATTTGATAAAAATAAAACTAAGATGCCCTTCCTAGTTAGTAATATATCCAGCTTAAAAATCAGAAGTTTATGTAAAATTATCCATACTCCCATATATATACCCAAGGAAAATCATTAAGAACAGTTCACTTTGGTTACAAGAATTTTTATTTTGTAAACTATACATAAACATTAAAAAAGAAAATACATTGTACTTTAAATATTATGTAAGGTGAACATTAAAGTTTTTATTCAGTGTGTATAAATTAAATGGAACAAACCCAACAATTTTGCTATCGATGAATATTATATTAAACCAGTTAATCCACCATAGAAATTAAGGACACCATTGTGTATTTTTCACCAAGTTTTCCATTTTTATTGTGGGCACTGAATCACTGGTCTGCTATACTTAAAAGTGGTGATGTGACAAAATGTCTACACAATTAATTAACATGCTAACTAAAATACAGCAATTAAAGTAATTTTTCTACAGTTAAATCTTAAATGCCACTCTACACAGTAATTATAAACAAGTCCACATGGCAGTTATGTAACAATAGAAAAAAAGAAAGAAACATATTCCATTTTCTTCATTCCAGCAGCAGTACCTTCACTGTGTTAATTTGTTAATCAGGTGTGCTTAAATATTGCCTAATGTCCTATATTGGTATGCATGCTAAACCCTTCTATTTCTATGTTTGCAAGGCACCATACAATGCGTTCTCTAAGTTTCAGCACTATGAACAAAAATGGCAGAATTCTAAGATTAAATGCAAAATTTTATCTAATTCAGTAAATAAATCAGAATTAATATTTTAAAATTTAATCATATAGCAAGTGAAAAACTGTTATTGAAAATATGGCAGAAATAAATTTCTTTGTCTTCTAATTTAAAGTATATTGCTAACTTGCTGGTTAGAAGGAAAGAGAAATCATGCTATTCAAGAATATTAAAAATATACATGAGACTTCCATTCAAAATAAAATAAACATTAGAAAAGAAAGCTAAGATTTAACTTCCAGAATCCATTATTTTCCATTCTTGCCACTGTATAAAATATCCTATCATATCCAGAAAACATCATTTTTGAAAAGTCACTATTAATAAAGATTCTAAAATGGTCATTTTGTTTAACTATGTGGTATCTCTTTCATGTACCCTGATATTTGGCAAGATGCTACTTAGTTTTGTGATTAAAGTCATGCATAAGTTTATAAAATCCTTGTGTTCCAGGTCACACATAAATTACCATACATTTCACTTAGAGTGTCTTTCATAAAAACAGCACGTAGGATCCCAAGCAATATTGATTGTTACTATGTGGAACATTTACAAGTTTAAGTTTATGAAAAAAATTTTGTAGTAGCTCTTTGCAACTTTCTTTTGTCTGGCTATCCTCCATATGTATTTTCTTTTTCTCTAAGGCATATAAAAACTGAGAATAAATTATTCTTTTTAAACATAAAGTTCTATAACTTTTAGCTGCAATATTTGAAATAATTATACAAAATAGATGTGAGGTTTAGAATCATTTTGTCTGGGGACAGGAAGGTAATTCTCCATAGGCTATCATGTGGTAAATTTTAGAAGGTGGAATTTATTGATCTCAGGTCTCCCTGATCAAATGTATCCATCACGATCATCCTCATCACCCTCATCGTCCCCTTCCTCCTCATCATCATTTTCAATTTCTTCTTTATCGTTCATTACGACTTCTGCATCATCTTCCTCATCAGTCCAGTCGTGGAAGTCTCCACTCGCAAAATCTCCAGAGATCTCGAAATCTAGAGCTAATAAAAATAAACACTACATTTTACTGAGTGTTTAGTGGGTTCATTTGTGGGAAACATTAAGCTATAGTAATAATTGAGGAAATTAATTACATTTCTGATTTGTTCTTCAGATTATTGAATGCAAATAAACCTTTAAATTTGGAAAAAAATATCAAATGAAATTCTCTCATATGGTAAAAATTTATGTACTAATTGAAGAATCTTTATTAATTTTTAATTTTATTTATGTATTTTGCTGTTTATAGGGTTTCACCATGCAACTTGGACTTGTGGAGATCCTCCTGCTTTCAGCCTCACC